TGTATTTCCATAGGGATACATTTGTTATTCTTTGGCCAGTTTGCCTCTTCATTTTTAACATAAAATCATCAGGACTGGAAATGTCATAAATTTGAGGACACAATCTGCAGATGTTCATAGTCTTGAGGTTAATTCCTGTTGGGTGTTTACTTCCAAGTCTTGGCAAGATTATAGCTCAGGTAAGTAGCTATTGATCAACTGTCCTCCTTAAGAGTCCTAAACAACACGGAGGAACATTGGGCAAAGACTTGTAATCCAAACCAGGCTGACAGAAGTGTGCTTCTGCTTTTAATAATTTAGTCATAATTCTAGTTAAGCATTTTAGCAAGACTCTTAGGAAGCTGTTCTTTCAACTGAAAATAATAACGCAAGTCATCTGGGTGGTCCAGGAGAGTAGTTCGGCAAAGAATGAAAGGAGTGTTGAATAGAGAAAGAAAGAAAACCCTTCAGGATGAAAATATAGAAGGGTAGCAAACAGAAGAAGCAATCAAAATAAAAACAGACATGAAGTGTTTTATGCACAAAGCACTGCCAGAAACTAACAGAACAGACAGAATTGCAGTTTCTGATGGAAGACAGAGTCTRACATGGGGACGGATCATCTGGAGAGTTCAACCTAGAAATAGCTCACTCAGCTATTGCTCAGGCATGCAGGCACACAGAGGACACAGAGATTTATACAGCTACAGAGAAGGGTGCATGGGAGTCTCTCCAATCAACAGAGATAAGGTGCGCTTTAGGGTTAGTTATACATAAAGCCCACTACTCATTTCTCTTCTCATGATCTCACCACCCTCAAGGCTCTCATCCTAGAAGTGGAGATGCAGTTACTGGGATGTTCAAAAGCAAGAAAGTCAGGTGGGAAGGGAGAGAAGATTTTTTAGACTTTAAAGCTATAAAGTCACTCTAAGCTGTTAGAAAGCTTGATTACTAAATATGCTCAGCACACCAGGGTAGAACAAATTTTGATTCCTCAAATGACCATAGATCTTTAAGAGATGAATGAGTAATAAGTTAAATGATTTTGTGCTGTCAAAACCTCTGCTGGAAAACAGTGCAGAGTCTGCCCTTTGCAGCAYTGCAGTTATGTAATTCTGCATGAATATAAAACTAACATTCTTTGTTATGCTTAATTATTAATTTAAAACAAATGGCTCAAGTTAGAACCTAGTCTTATAATTTCATGCTTATTTAATTTATAAGAGTCAATCAGGGTGGTAATTGTAAAAGCAAACTGCATTTGACTGCAGGGTTGCTGAAAACAATTTCAAAATAAAATTTCACTAGCTCTTTTCACTTGCACCATGATTAGCATAATTGCTAATTATAATAGCTGATTTAATTAGTGTTTTTAATTATCATAGTATTGAAGTTCAATGAAACTTGTTTAAAAAATAGGAAGACAGATAAGGTGCGAACTTGTAGATTTACTTGCAAGGATGACATGGTCTTATCTTCCATCTAGAGACAAGACAGAAAACAACTGGGTTCCTCCGGCAGGTRGAGAACCCTCAAGTTCTTGTCCTTYGGAGGAAATTCTCCCATAGGATTAGAAACTCTGCCTATATCTTGCTATTGCTTAGAAGGTGCATTTAAAGAAAATTTCACAATATACCTTCCATAGTGTGATAAAACACGAACATCCAGATAATGCTATGACAGCACCAATATAAAACTTTCACTCATGAAACTTACTCTTAGAAGCTGAATAAATATATGTGAAAAAGCTGCAAATCTGATGAAATATATAGGAACATTGTACTCTACAAGAAAAGTTGCATTTTCAAACATCCCTTTGGGTACGGGAAGCAGAATAAGGAATATCCGACTATTCCTTCATAGAGTTCATCTGAAAAATTTCCTGTATTTTGCATTTTGAAATTACTGTAGAGATGTAAACCTGACCCTAGGAAAGCCAGCTGGCACAGATTACTTTGTGAAGACATGAAGGAAGTTCCCACAGAAGTACTGGTCTTAAGAGGAGACTTACTGGTCTTCAGGTCAAGAACCTGCGAACTTGGCTTAGCATCCACCTACGAAGACAGGTATCCTTTCTTGGGCTATTCCTTGGCATTAGTTCTGCACCTGGAGAAAAGGCTTATTTCTTCAATATTTACACACAGCTTAATGAAAATCACCGATCAGTCATAACACAACTCCACAATGCGTCACCTTGCAGTGATACAAGCTTTCTTTAGCAGCGGAGATGGACTGTTTACAAATTCACCAAATTATCGGARCAAGTGGTGACATAAGGAAGGCTCTTCAAAATAAGCAACATGCGCTGCAAGTGCTACGTCCCCTCTGCCTCCTCACCACTTGCCTTGTACCCTCTCCAAGTCTGCACAATAAGTTCCCATGGCTCCATTAGAAGAGGCATAAGCAAGAAGCTTATTGGAAGGGGCATAAGCAAGAGCAAAAATGAGACTTGGAGCTCTACACACCTATCTTTTCAAAATCAGATAGAAAAGCAAATGAATGATAGTGTTATTATTTCACGATACTAATAGCTAGCAAGAAACTCCAGACAGGTAAATTAGAGCCAAATCAAGTCTCCCTCCTCCCCAAACAACACTGGCTGAACCATCATAAGAACTGATGCACTCTTCATCTTTCCCTTTCTTCATTTAAAATCCAGACTGGACGCTTCTGGAAGCTGTGTGCCTCAAACACAACAAAAAGACAACTTTGGTCAGGCAAGCAATTTTGCTCAATATAAAGCTCCATAGAGCAAAAACCTGCAGGGTTTTTACTAGCAGGACAAGCAGAAATGGTGTCATGCAGTATAAAGACACCAATAAACTCAGTTTAGAAGACTGCTTTGGGTAGTTTACAAAATCTATATGCATGTTAAATTACAGATTTTTGAACTATTTGTACAACAAACTCTCAATGTGCATTTAATTCCCTTGCTGCCAGGAAGCACATCACAACCTGCACACCAACCTGCCTTGACACAACCACAGGAGAACCTCTCCTCAATTGGCTGCAGCTAGACAGGACTTGAGAATTCCAGCCCCCTTCACCCTTCCAGTAAAGATATTATACACTTCTTTTTAAGAGCGAGTTCTATGCCATAAAGAGCATGATTTGGACACACAGTGAAAACAAGCTAGAAAAATGGAACCCATGTGCAGATCTGGAAGAAAGGAGGCCATGGGGTGCTAGCAAGGCTGACCAAAATTGTCATTGCTTGGAAATGAGAGTCTGTACAAGCAAGGTTGGTTTGGTTCAATGTTCTCTATGACAGTCATTTTGGGTCTGTAAATGACCACCAAATCTCCAACTTCTTAAAAATATTTGTACACATCTGTTTCCAAGCTTCTAATTGATATCATTAGACAGACATCTTTGATCCATGACCAGGCACAGTTCCTTTGCACCTTGTGCACCATGGTGTGGGGAGTTGCTATTCTGAATATTGTCTTTAAGGGGTGACCTTTTGGGTGCTCTTACTCCCTGCAGAATCTAAGGCAGGAGAATAAAGAGCATTGCATTTCAAAAACGAGAAAGGAAAATCAGCAATATTGCCCAGCTATTACCTGGAGATCCTGACCTCAAACTGGATGCAAAGAAAGCATCCTAGTGACTGTTCTACACTAAACCTGTATTTTGTTTGGAGAAACATCTGACTCTAGACCTGTCTTCAGAGTAATGAAATATATTTTAAAGGCAGCCATGTTACAACAGCAGGCCAAGCAGGACTCTGTCAGTTCAATACCACAACACTTACACCCAATGACAGCTACTAAGAGCAGTAATAGTGGTCCAAGTGAAGCAGTCCATTGTGTTTCTTTTTTAAACAAACAAGAAACCACTGGATAAATTGCTATCTTCTGGCATGAAACATAGCCAATTTTAGCAGCTGTTACACCAAATGCAGCCATAAGTACATGTACTGAAATGTTCCCACGAGCACATCTTGTCAGGAACTAGCAACAATTCTTTTTACCTTGAAAAACTCCTACATAGGAGATGATGATTGGCATTAGATATCGAAGTCACTTAGTCTGTTCAGAATTATTGAACTATTGTCTATATCTTTGATAATACCTATGGTATGAACACATTGTTTTATATTTATCTGGAAATGTTATCCTTTACAACAAGCAAAGCAAGATAAGTGACACTTCTCAARCAGCTCTGACACACAGGAACTCTTTTTCAAATTTTAGCAACACTTGACAAACACAATAACTGACAACTTGTTCTGATACCACTGAGACAAGAAAAAAAACCCTTCTCCTATTCTCTTCTCAAAAAGAACAACAGACCAAGTCAGAACGACAACAGACCTGGTCTAGAACAACAGGTTTATCAAATCAGTCAGACAAAACAGAGGATTTTGTTAAATATAGAAAGACAATGATAATATTCACTGCTACTCTAAAGTTTTACATTATGTGACACAGATGTCATAGGAAATAGCAAAAAAATGGGTGCTTTTATGAGTTAATAGTAAATCATCCCTTATTACTTAAAATCCCTGACAGAAAAGAGAACTTACCATAAAATTATAGTATGCACACTGGACATGTTAAGTCAAACTGTTGAAAACAGGGGGAAACATATATACCCCCAAGAATTCTTTAAAACCTACTGTGGTCATTCAGTAGTTTAGTTTGATTAAACTATCATTATTAGATATTAACATTAGATATTAACATTAGATATTAACATTAGATATTAACATTAGATATTAACATTAGATATTAACATTAGATATTAGATATTAACATTATAAGAAATGTTAATTATAATTATCATAACAATCATAATTATCATTAACATTTCTTAAAGCATATTACAAAAAGCATATTACAAAAAAAAAAAACCACCTACTCTGTATGGGCTGAGATCTACTTATTAGAAGAACTGGCTTACTAGCATAAATACTCAGAAATGTCTCTCTCCACAGACTAAACAGTTTTCTTTCTATTACTGGCTCTTGCTTTAAGGCGGCACTGAACATGGTGAATATTTGTGTCTCGAGGGCTTACCTTCCAGTAAGTCCCTTGCCAGACCTGGTTCTGCCCCTGTGGACCGAACAAAGTCTGACAGGACTGCATCCATATCAAGAGTCATGGGCTCATGTAGGGCTGCTGCCGGGCACGCAGCAGCAGCAGGACTCACTGGTTCGCTGCAGGACTCGCTAGACTCGCTGCAGGACTCGCTAGAAGGTATCCATCTGCAAAGGAGAAAAAAACGCAGGATTTTAGAATATACCCCAAAGTGACAGAAACCAAATGTTTCCTTTCTTTCCCAAACAAGACTCGTTAAAATCCTAAAACATCCAAGTTACAATGTTTTAATAAACAGCATTTGCATTGCATCTCTGCCTTTGCCYGGAAGCTGTTGATCACTTAGGCTTTCAGGAGAGTTTTGTTTTTCCTCAAAGCTTAGGTGGAACATGATACGTATAGGACCCACAGTCTGAAGGGTTTGAGCTTTCTGCCCAGAAGTCCCCATTTCTGCAGCTGAAAGGCTCCTGCTCATTCAAAGCACCAAAGTCCTACGTTGTGCGTGTGATTAGGGCTGCTCACACACTCTGGCTTGGCAGGTAAGTGTTTGGTTAGACCATAACTCTTTGCCCTTACTTGCTAAGGCTAGCACAGCACATACAGAATGTTGTATTTGCTTTTTTACTTCCCTTGCCAACACCCTTTGTGTTATTTCAAGCTGCCTCACCTCAGCGATCTTGGGCATATGGAATCCACATCATYTCCATGCACTTCTGAAACAGCGATGCCTTCCTCGCATGAGGACAGCGGACATTCTTTTTTAGCTTCAGTATCAACTTTTGCCTCACAGAAGTGTTTTAAAAAAACCCTGAGGAACTGCATCAATACAAGCCTTTTCCATATAATCATAATGATGACAACCACACCAGAAGGAGCAGCACCAACAGCCACTCCCATCCAAAAGGCTGCACTCGTGCTCATCATCACTCCTAGAAGTGGTAGGAGGCCAGTCTCATGACACTTCAGGAGAGGCCTGGGAGCCAAAGCCTGGCTGTGGCTGCGTGACCCACAGTGACAGCCTATTTCATTGTTACAAACTGGGGTATCACAATCAAAACTGCAGCATGTTACCACACAGACCTTGCGCAGACCTGCAGCTTTCAGTCCTTGGCCAGCGGCATTCTGGAACTCTAGGCCTGAGAGAATGCACATACTGCCTTGGAAAACCCTGCACGTTTTTTGGAAAGAAAAGTTTCCTCTATTGCTGTATTTCTGCTCTTGAATTTCCACTGGTGCAATCACCTAAATCAGAAACACTTGCAACAGGTACTCAATATAAACACTTGTTTAGCTGGGGGAGGCAGAAAAGAAGGGCAAAAGGGCTTGGTAGGACTTCACTCATGTTCTCTGAGAGATGGAATTAGAGCTCAGGTTAATACAGTTAAGGTACACATGGGTATTTAGTAAAAACTTTCAAAACYTTTATCTAATTCTTCCCCCAGAAGAAAAAAAAAGAAAAAAAGAAAAAAGGATTCAGCTGCCTATCCTGGCTTTCTCAAATAGTTATTGCTTAATACCAGATTAACCACAAGAGACAAACACATAATTTTTTCCTCCTAAGTGAAAGACATGAGGATTCCCTTAGAGAATACATCGCTTGTGCAAGGCCCCAAGGCCCAGYGAGGCGCTGTCCTCAGCAGCTGCCAAGGGCTCCTTGCACTCTCCCCTCGCCCAGAAGCAACAGTCACACCAATATGTGACAATGACTCACAGCCAAAGTAGCTGCAGCACATAGCAGCTAATGGCATCACAGTCAGAGCTGAGGAAATTCAAATGTGTTCTTGTTTTTGTACAGATAATGATTTTAACACAAAACAAACAAAGTGTGCAATTAATTCTTCTGTAGAATATTTTAAGTGTAGTTTCAACAATGCYCCTGAAAGATGTTTGTGCATTCACTAAAAACAAGCAAAAGAAACAAGAAGAGAAGTCTTTTTAATTTTCTGTCACTGACAATTTCTCTTCTATTTTGTCGAATAAAACAATTTGGAAATGAAGTGAATCACATATCACAACTATGGCAGCGCCTGTGAGTCACAGTCCTACTTTATATCAAATTAGAAAGTTGCTTTTAGGAGGAGGAAGAGGAACAGGGAGCTGATTATGGTGATGTATAACGTTGTCTTGTATTTACTGACAACCACGATGGCACAGTTTTGTCCTGTGKTTTTTCAACATTTTGAAGATGCAGTCTTAACAGTGCACCTTCTTCTGGCACAAGCACCTTAATATTCATTAGGAAGTAAAGCAAGTCCAGTCTCAAGTGATAAATAACACACTGATGTTACGGGAGTTTCTCTTGCCAAATCCATGGCTAACTGACAACCATCTATCTTACTGTATTTTGTACCTTTTCCTGAATAAAGAAAATCCATCTTTCTAGATAATTTTCTCTAGCAGGTGGTGCTAGACATGCTACTGAGACATTAAAGCATTCAAAACAGCTAGGCTAAAGGTGTTCCACATTTCTCAGTCTGCCCTGCTGTGGAAATACTGCAAAGAAAAAGAAAGGTCTAGATAAAAGATTGGTAAGACTCGTACTTTTGCTTTCATGTCTATTATTCGTTATTGGTCAAAGTTCGCCTTTAAACATGAATTTCATCATTCCTGCTATTCACTTCTGGCAGATTCAGGTGCGACTTTACCACATGCCCAAGCCAAAGGATAACATACAAATTATCTACGGCAGAAGCAGATGCTATAAGTTGGTTATTACTTGCACCACAGCCACAGGGAAATGAGCTGTGGAAAAAGATGGAAACAACTGCATTTCACTGCCCCCCCCAACCCAGCCAAGAAGCTCGGTATTTTCTCACTCCATTTCCTAACTCTTCCTGCATACAAAAGAAAACACACAAACTAAAATACACAAACTCTGCAGAGGCCATTTCTCATCCCATGAAACAGCATGAGTGATCCCCAAATGACTTCCCCCTAGCCAGTCTGTACTCTGGTCACCTCCAGATACAGGTGTTGCACAAAAGCACATTTGTGTGTGCTCCAATGTGCACACATGCAAAAAGCATCTCCTTCTCATGATTATTTTTAGTGATATTGCTCTGAAACTGCAAGTACAAAGATTTATTTGAAGTAAGTCATATCAGTAAAACAGCCTTCCCTGCGTATCCCTACCGATATGAGCAACTTTTGAACTGCTGCAGTTTGAGAATGATTCAGAACAAGCTGGAAGTTAATGTATGTCATGCTGATGTTGTGAGCCCATATTCTAAACTGGTTCCTCCAAAGGAAGTTCCTTCTGGTACTACAGAGTGTTCTCTGTCCCAATAGAGAACCGGCCATCTCTGCGTTCAGAGCTACCAGAAACACAGCCCACGTGTAACTGAGCCAGTGAGAAGGCTGGGT